ACCCTCCAATTTAATTCAAATTTTACTAAAGTGACATTTCAAGTGACATTATACTGTAGCGGTAGGTAAAATATCATAATGCATTCTGCCGTACAATTTTGCAAACTTTAGCAACACAAAGTCTATGTACATGTAATGTAAAACAGCAAAAATAATATGCTCCGTAAGGCATGTTTATTAAACGATATAGATGTATACTTTTTGATTCACCGGAAAAAAAAAACAGAACGCTGTATATCTATTATTCTTTTAGTGCAATGGTGCAATCACATAGACTTGCTCCTGGCGTGTAAAAAATATCTATTAAACAACAAACGATATACTATAAACTACACAAGGAAGGACGCCATTTTGGACCCCTTCCTCGCTTCAACCTCTGTTTTCGTTATATTTTACCGTATTTTACTTACTCACCGCCGGGGATCTGTTAAACAATGATTCTTCTAAAACCTCATGCTTAAATTTCCCCCTTGGAGCCTCTGCAATACACATTTCAGACTAAAAATAATCCAAACGCGCTCTATAGGACAAACACCACCAAATGTTTTCTCATACACTTCCATACAAACTTGAGCCCCTGTCACTCATACATATTTTGAATTTTGGGCAAATGGCCTTTTTGTCGTGAAAGTTCGAGATATTGGAAAACAAAACATGCCAGAAAAAATATACCGTCACGCGGTACTTTTACTTTCAATTTCCATTTATTTACAACAAGGTGCGTTTGACACCAAATGAAAATCTCTAACCAAAGGACACCCCTCCCTTCAAATTTTTACCTGTAACTCCTATATATCTCAAAGAATCCCAAGTCTTGATATGAGATTTTTATCAACTTTATTTCACTAGTCAGATACATAACAATTTTTTTCTCTTATTGACCAATCACGCGCCAGCTTGCATTTTCTCCTCCGCACAACTTTGGGTATCCAAAATGTCTGTGCCCATGTACTTGTTTATGTAGGGGTTTTTCCGTTAGGACAGTTGGTATGGACTGAAAGCGAAAGCACATTCGAAGCCCATCGAGGATTGCCGAATGAACTAATTCGTATTCGAATGTTAAACGCCGATGTTACTTCCGCTTTCTGTCCATACCAACTGTCCTAACGAGCGCGTTTGGATTATTTTTAGTCTGAAATGTGTATTGCAGAAGCCCCAAGGGGGAAATTTAAGCATGAGGTTTTAGAATAATCATTATTTAACAGATCCCCGGCGGTGAGTAAGTAAAATACGGTAAAATATAAAGAAAACAGAGGTTGAAGCGAGGAAGAGGTCCAAAATGGCGTACTTCCTTGTGTAGTTTATAGTATATCATTTGTTTTTTTTTAATAGATATTTTTTACACGCCAGGAGCAAGTCCCTGTGGCTCAATCTTCATTCATCTTTTTATATATTTACTTATTTTATTCATAACCGTTTTTATTCAATTTATTTATTATATATTTATTCCGGATGTGTTAAGAACGATTAAAACAATTAAATATGGTCGGCAGACCAATCTTTATTTATTGATTATTGATTTTTTGGCTCACTGGTTCCATGTTATTTGTGAAGCATTCGTTTTAAGTCAAATATGATCACAGACTATATATTGTTACTTGATTAATACTTAAGACGGTTGATATGACCGTTCCATTGGCAATGCGTACACTTGATAGCCACCAGAACCCATCTCTTTAATTTCCTAAATCCGTGTTTTATGCCCCCCCCCTTTTTTTTTTTAAATAAACGTATTTGTTTAGACACTGATTGCATTTACTTATTGCCATTGAATAATGACTCATAATTATATGAATAGCTTTTTTTCCTCCAGGCTATTTTCTGGGTTTGTTAATAGAGAACTATCATAAAATTAATGATTTTTAGAAAATATAAAATGTTTATCAAGCACTCCTTTATTTGTTAACAAAGGTGACCTGAAACAACCACGTGATTTTTTATACCACAAAAATATATAAATCCCGGATAATTTTAGGAGAGTCGAAAGTACCAACAAAGAAAAATGGAAAGAAAGATATTATTTGGATTGATGTTAGCTTTACTGCTTGTAAGTTTCTATTTTCATTCATAAAAGCATGATACGCATAACTTTCTTAATCATTGATGTTCTTCATTGCTACAGAAGCTTAAGGTAAGCCTTACGAATGACATTGTTGACAAATACAAACAATATTATTCTTACGACATATTTTATTTAATTTTTCCATCAATTAAACGTGGGAGGTGGATATTTCAATGACGTTTGCAATTTGTTTATTTGAATAAATGCATTTATATACCAAACATGAAAAAGTGCAAACCGTTCCTGCATGTTTGACAGGTGCCACATAAGAGTATTTATGATTCTCTGATTTACATAGGGAAAAAAAAGACAGGTAAAACTGTTTGGTTAAAAAAAACATAGTATTTCTACAGCAAAATAAATAAAAAGAGATAAATAATAACTAAATAAATAATGAATTAATTAATTATATATATTCAATTAATCAATTAATTGATAACAAAAACACTGATATTCCTACGTTTTCAAACTTTGACAGCTGTCAGCTCAAGAGGGATGTCAAAATAACACCGTTTAATAAAAAATGAAACGCATTTAAAAAATTAATGTATGTTTACAACAGACGGAAATTAACTCTAAATCATATATAGTGATAGTTAGGTAGCCTTGTTACAAAGATTTACTCGTAGTCTTTTAAAAAGAAGAACACTTTTTACATTCAAAATAATTACGCATCATCTTCATTTTCCCTTTGTTAGTATTTAACAGTCGCTTAATATTTTCTACCCTATAACTTAAATAACTGACGTTCTAGATCTACTTTTCAAATATATAGTAATCTCATGTTCAACGCCCATAGAAACTATATGTATAAGAAATGGATGAAAAAATCCACAAGAACCTGATTTTTTATGAAAAAAAAAACGATAAAACAACCGATGAGTATATCATCTAAATTAATAATGGTATCTTTATTTTCAAAAAAAAGAACAACAAACCCATTCGATACGTAAGTGATTTTTTTTTCTTTCATAAGTAATTGGAAGTATTGAAAAATACTCAATGGAAATTCAATGCGCAGATCGGAAACAAATTAACATACAAAATTTAATGCAATTAAAATTTATTTTAATTAATGCAATCCGGAAAAAAGTATAAAAATACATATTCCTACTTTAAATTTGCACTTTATTTTCTCACACAATTTAATGAATTGGAATTTACATCTTTTTAAATTAATTAATAGAATGATCATATATGCTTGCTTTATCCTGAGTATTTCATTGTGGTATCTTAACTTTATATTCAAGGATTATTTGTACGTGACATATATACAAAAAATAATGCACAGTACGTTTTGAAACATTTACAGAGTATTACAGAATATCTGCCCACATTACAAACTTTGCAAACTGAATTACAAAAGAATCAGGATCAGGTTAATACACAAAATCAAAATTAAGATACCCTAATCAAATAATTATATATAAGGGGTAAACCATATTTAAAGCAGTTTTGGACCTCTTAACTTATCTAGACCTTCAATACACCAGTACATGCTGAAGGATAACTTTATAACATTGAAAGTCTTGTAGTTAGATCAACAGCCACCACAAACCACCAGTATGTAGCTGTTAATGTTGGATTCTCAATCAAAGAAATGTTTTTAATAATTCTAAAGTAAGTTATTTTTCGAAAGCATGAATTGTAGGACTGTGTGTATCGCAAGCAACGTTAAATGTTAAACGACATACGACAGTTTCTGTACAGTTCTCCTCTTTCAAAACATGTATAATGGTTGCTTTCTTGTTGTTGCTAATTTCTACATACACCAAACTTACCGGATACTCGGCCAACTTTTTTCATCAAATCTTTGAAATTGTATATTTTGAGATTTGATTTCATATATTACAGACTCACAAAAAATATTTTTTACAATATGAAACACAATTAAATAAAAGTTCTCTACTCCTCAGGCAACAGATATATTACAGTTGATTACGTATCATAAATAAAGCAAACTAGATCAAAACAACCTTCTAGCAAAGCAAGTAAAACGAATGAGTCTCATTATTTCAAAACGATATGAACGACCGTATCGTACACCGTACAACAGGTGGATTATACATATCGCGTACATACACAATGAAGCTTTTTCGGGTGAAAAATAAGCAGTCATAGGTACAAAAACAAGTCCTTAGTGAAACAAGATGGAAACACATTTACTTAAGGTGTGCCCTATCTTGTCAAAGCAGTTGTCATAATTGGGGATTTTTTTATCATGGACAATTAGCAAGTCATTAAGAATCTGATCAAGCCTTTTTTAAAATAACCGTTAGAGAAATGAAAACAGTCTTTTTGCACATTGTTTTGTAAAGACAAAGAAAACTCTGCATTTTTCACAGTTAAGTCCCAAGAAGCCTCTTTACTGTAATTTTAGGGGGTGAAAGAGATGATTAAAAAATTGTAAACGATGGTTAAAAGGATTAGATAGGTCTACACTATGAAATAACAAAGGTTATGATTAAAGGAGAAAAACAGTACTATACACTCTCTCCATTAATTAATATATCGACATAATGTTTCTAATACTTTTTCAAGTACAATGCATTTTATGAAAAGGGTATGAATAAGTGACAATGTTTTCATTAAAGAGAATGGGTTTCAATTGATCGCATTGACCTTTTAAAACTCGTGTAGGGTTGGAAAGGGATAGCGTATGTATTTAAAACGGCTGACTGCGCCTTAAAATGCTAAGTCAGAAGATGGTCCTAGAATCTTGGATCCACTTTGGGACGTAGGAGCATTTCCTTTGCTGACATTCTAAACCGAGGCCCTGTTAGACTGGCGGTGCTTGCAATAGCTTTAAGGTACAATCGTGACTAACAAATCCTTCATAATTAATCATCGTTAGAAACATTTGCCAAAGTTGGTCATCTGTAAACGCCATATACTCGTAGGTGATATTTGACAAGTATATAAAGTTTGATTATTATTACAATATGAAACAGCTGTCGAAAGGGATTATAATGAAGCAAGTGTTTTTATGTGGATTGTTATTAAGCATTATAATTGTAAGTTTCTTTGTAAAAGGTTTCATTGAGTTTGCTATCAGGGTTTCTATTTTCAATAGAATAATTATGGTTAAAATATACAATTATTGTATTATTTGTTAATCAGTTAAAAAAACGATGTGGAGCATGAACTTTAAAAAGCTAGATTACATGCCTTCCTCCTGGTAAATTCATATGCAATGTTTTAAATATTTTAGCAACTGCGTTTCTCTAAATTCTAATTTTTCTCTTGACAAGACATAAGATATGTTTTATTATAATATTCACTAATTCTATCATTTTAGACCAAAATACTTTTTGTCTCTTGTTACTGTAAACGTATTACATTTCGCGGTGTATTCTTTTTAGCGCTTTTGGCGGAAAGACACTTCCGCTTACTCAAGTACAACGCTAAATGTTTTGTACTTATATACGTAAATATGAACGATAAGAAATGTGCTAAATTAAATCTACGCTAACTTGTTCAAAAAAGAATTTCCGCCAAATATCGTACACGCTAAATATAATACATTTACAGTATTCTATTGATTTTATGAACATTTAATCCATAAGCTATAGTAAAAACCATGTTTTAAGCTTACTAATTCATTTTTACCAAGCCTTGCGACATAAATGAACATCAAGGGTCTTTCTAATGAAACTTTTGAAAACCAAATCTTGAGTTATCGTAGGCATTGACGTGTTAAATCCCCCTTAATTAAACAATAAAATGTTTTCTTTGTTTGTTGTTACTGGAATGAACGGAAGCAACAAACAAAGAAAGCATTTTATTGTTTATATTTATATCTGTTTAAATAATCAATTAAAGTAGGATTAAAAAGATTAATTACTTATTAATGATGCGAACGTCTTTATACGTTTCATTGAGGGAACAGCCACTGATTAAGAAATCTGTACAGGCGACCTGCATACTGTAGTTTATGCAGTGATGAACGCAGTGGGATTTCTTAAGAAATAAAGGAGGAAATATTCAGTGGATGTAAATATTGCTCAATGACGGTGAGGTCTTTAAGCCTTTCGCGGTCATACGATGACTTAGTTATTTTTCATAGACGAAAATCTTAAGATGTCTTGCTTTGATTTCCTTTATACATGAAGGGACACGTAAATATCAGTGAGAAGTCAATGTGCATAAAATATTTGTTGTTTCACACAAATGTAACTGTGAAACACAAAAGTATTGACTGTAGAAAAAGCTTTTAGAATTGAATCAATTTGATCTGAAAAAGTTCTCCTTGAGCGCAATGTATTATTATTGCACTAATTAGACTGATTCTGTTTTTTTTTTTTTAATTTGATTTCGCTCTCTTGTTTAACTATAAAAGAAGTTAATGTTTCTTTCAAGCTTGCAGTATCTGAAAATGTGTTCTTGCAAAATACCATGAAACATGGTGATATTTCTTTTTAGTCATTCTTAACTTGCAAAAATCAGTGCATATTAGTTCAAACAAATAACTGTTATATTTAAATACTTCTTGCTGCAAGCAATTTAGTTTACTACATGTATGTACAAACTTTCAATAGATTTTCTGCAGATCTGCAGGAAACACATAAGTTTTGTAATGGTATAATATTAGCATTAAAATTCTAAATTTTATCCAACAAAAAGTATGAGTTTCAGTGTCTATCTATTTAAAGATGTATGCTATTATTTGATTTTAGGTCGTGGTCAACGGACAAGGATACCTTCCAAGGCGTCCTCCATGTAAGCAATTGTGCGCATGCATAAAAATACAAAATGAATGAAAGTCTACATTCTGTTGATTCAATTCTAACGCCAAACAGAGAAATACAATTAATAACATTATTGAGCCTTCTGTGGAAGCAGGTCCAAAATTCTATCATATATTATTAAAACCATGATTATATTAATTATTCTGTGTATTATTTGAAATAAGAAATAAAATTATTGCTCTAACACTTGCTCAATCAGGAATAGGTTATGCTCTTTTTAAAATGAAAAACTTGAAAAGCTGTTTTTCATTCTCTTGTTGATTTAGCCAATCCAATCTGTAGTTTACCTCGTGAGCCTGGTCCGTGCAGAGGTTCCTGTCCCCGGTATTACTACGACACCAGAAGGGGCACCTGTCGTTCCTTCACCTATGGATGCTGTGGGGGAAATGCAAACAACTTTCAAACAAGACAGCTTTGTAATAGAATTTGTAACACTAAAGGTAAATATTGATTCTTTTGATATGTATTTCATAAGAATTACACAATGAACATGTGAAATATATAGAGATGATATGAAGGGTGGAACTTTGAACACTAAGTGAGATGACGTATTTTTATACTAAATTTCAGTCTGTCCTGAAATAGCCTGTCTTGTTGGAGCATGTACTTTTCAGACCTGTCCGGCCTATCCTCAGGCCACTTGTTTGTGAGTATTACTAAGACTAATGAATAAGTTACTCAACAAAAACAACCCTAAGAAAAAATACTATAGTTAACTATAGCTAACTATAGTTAACTATAGTTTACTATAGTTTACTATAGTTTACTATACTTAACTATAGTAAATCAAAGTGTCAAAGTTTTCGCCAAAGTTTTTCAAAGTGTCAAAGTTTTCGTCAAAGTTTTTGAAAGTGTCAAAGTTTTCACAAAAGTTTTTCAAAGTGTCAAAGTTTTCGATAAAGTTTTTCAAAGAGTCAAAGTTTTCGCCAAAGTTTTTCAAAGTGTCAAAGTTTTCTCCAAAGTTTTTCAAAGTGTCAAAGTTTTCGATAAAGTTTTTCAAAGTGTCAAAGTTTTCGCCAAAGTTTTTCAAAGTGTCAAAGTTTTCTCCAAAGTTTTTCAAAGTGTCAAAATTGTCGTCAAAGTTTTTGAAAGTGTCAAAGTTTTCGCCAAAGTTTTTCAAAGTGTCAAAGTTTTCATCAAAGTTTTTCAAAGTGTCAAAGTTTTCGCCAAAGTTTTTCAAAGTGTCAAAGTTGTCGTCAAAAATTTTTCAAAGTGTAAAAGTTTTAGATAAAGTTTTTCAAAGTGTCAAAGTTTTCGCCAAAGTTTTTCAAAGTGTCAAAGTTTTCGTCAAAGTTTTTGAAAGTGTCAAAGTTTTCACAAAAGTTTTTCAAAGTGTCAAAGTTTTCGATAAAGTTTTTCAAAGAGTCAAAGTTTTCGCCAAAGTTTTTCAAAGTGTCAAAGTTTTCTCCAAAGTTTTTCAAAGTGTCAAAGTTTTCGATAAAGTTTTTCAAAGTGTCAAAGTTTTCGCCAAAGTTTTTCAAAGTGTCAAAGTTTTCTCCAAAGTTTTTCAAAGTGTCAAAATTGTCGTCAAAGTTTTTGAAAGTGTCAAAGTTTTCGCCAAAGTTTTTCAAAGTGTCAAAGTTTTCTCCAAAGTTTTTCAAAGTGTCAAAGTTTTTGCCAAAGTTTTTCAAAGTGTCAAAGTTTTCGTCAAAGTTTTTCAAAGTGTCAAAGTTTTTGCCAAAGTTTTTCAAAGTGTCAAAGTTTTGTCAAAGTTTTTCAAATTGTCAAAGTTTTTCAAAGTGACAAAGTTTTCGATAAAGTTTTTCAAAGTGTCAAAGTTTTTGCCAAGGTTTTTCAAAGTGTCAAAGTTTTCGCCAAAGTTTTTCAAAGTGTCAAAGTTTTCGTCAAAGTTTTTCAAAGTATCAAAGTTTTCGATAAAGTTTTTTAATGTGTCAATGTTTTCGATAAAGTTTTTCAAAGTTTCAAAGTTTTCAATGAAGTTTTTCAAAGTGTCAAATTTATCACTATAGTAAATCAAAGTTTTCAAAGTGTCAAAGTTATCACTATAGTTAACTATAGTAAACTGTAGTTAATTATAGTTAACTATAGTTAACTATTGTATTTTTTTGTTAGGGAATCATCTGCATATAAATAAACAATGACATACAGGTGGCTATTGGAAACAACGGCTTACATGTCTCGTATTTGCTTGGAATTAATCAAACGAGTTAACCATTATATTTATCTATGAAAAATTCTAAATGTTTAAGGAGATAATTTTCCTTAAAACATTTGTAAAAAGAGAACTACACTGATTTTTTTTTTCAAATATACATATTTTTTATACTATTTTGTATTGCGATATACTTACTTGCGATATTACTTTGTTTATTTTAAACAAAAAAGGGCCGGGCAAAAACTACTAAATACCAGTGAATTTTTCTTAGTTTTAATTCATACTTTGTTTTGAAGAAAAAATCTTGTTCTTTTAGTCTTAGAGTTGAAAAGACAAATATATAAACTACAAAAAAGACATTGAAGATGGAAAATTGATCATTTATTGTTAAAAATCAATGCAAATTTAATTAATTGGAACAAAAAGTAGGGTATTCTCACTGGCATACAATTAAGGACTTGATTGATTGATTGATTGATTGTATACTGTTTAACGTCCCTCTCCAGAATATTTCACTGATATGGAGACTTGAAAGTAGGCCAATGTTAAAGTTTTTTTCAATAAGTACAAGTCAAAAAGTCAAGGTAATCGGTGGTACTTTAAGAAAATACACATGTGAAATGTTAAAGTCATACCTTCACTAAATCAAAAGTTATGGGCAAGGTTAAAGTTTTGCGGACAAACAGACAAACAGAGAGACAGACAGACAGACAAATGAACGGACACGACAAAAACTATATTCCCCCGAAACTTCGTATAAGGGGGCAAAAATCTTTTCTAACCTTTGCAATTTATAACTTTAATTTATTGAACAGTCGGGATGTTGACATGACCACTACCAATTTTAAGTTCTTTTTAGCATTTGAGTTGATTGCTACATGTACCTCCACAAAGAAACGTATTAGATTTTTTTCTACAATTCATACCATTTATAAGCTTTTCGACTATATTGCTTTGCCTTTCGGAATGTACAAAAATGCTCTCAAATTCATTACACATTTATTCAACTTAGCAGAAGTACTATTACTATTATTTCCTATGTAGCTCGTAAATTTCCGTGCACCCGACTGAAGCCGGGGGTAGATAAAAACTGCACACTGCATGGTTCCTCTCTATGATAAAAACCAAATACTATGACGTCACGAGCTATTGTGTTACTTAGTTAATTTATCGATAGATTGAAAAACAGTAAATAAGACTGCTGGTGACAAAGAATTTTATTGGTACAGAGGAAATAAATTCGTTGTCCGGGTCCAAGCAAGGATGTACGGGGATTTATCTCGGGTTTCATTCCATACACCCTGAGGCCGAATTGCCCCGGGTTGTATTCCATGCAACCTTCTGGCTTCGGCCTCAGGGTGTATGGAATAAAACCCGTGATAAATCCCCGTATACTCTTGATTGAACCTAGTTTACTAATAACATATTCAAATTTCCAACACAACAATCACTGAATGGTCTATAGAAATCGGAGATACATTACATACAATGGCCATATTGTTCGCAAATCACACAGAAGGACTAAGATCACAACCGAATGCAAACACATAAAGCCAAGACTGAGGCCCTGTGTTGAGCACATCGACCCATGTGAATTCACAATACTTTACAACTAACAAATGGGAATGACCTTGGACATATCTGTTGACCCTGTTTTCAAAAAATTCTCCCTGGTCGATAGTACTTACTGACACTGAGTAATTCAGATTGTAAGCCTTTCCTCCTTTTAAAAGAGGTAAAAGACACAAAATAACAATGTATTGTGGCGCAGGAAAGTGCAGTTTATTTCTTTAACCAGGTTTTCCCTGTCAAGTCATTTGAAACTAAGTGAACAACAGCTAAAAATTCGGGGTTATGTAAGGTTATCTAGGTTGTTCAGTAGCATTTTGTTCAGACTGCACAAGTGATTGGGGTGACAAGGGTATGGTTTTCTCAAAATAGTGTTTATCTTGAAATTTACAACGTAATAATTGAAAATGAGATGTAAGAGCTGGTATAAATCGATAAGCTGATTTGATATCTGATTTATCTAACAATGTCCCTTATACCAGGAGAATTATCCTGGCTGCCGCATCGTCTCACTCTGGACTTAACTAATCTCTGAATAGCTATTATTTCCATTATTTTTTGTGAACAATTTTGGGGTGCTGGTGTGCTTTTTTAAATTGTGGCTTAATTTGGTCTTTTAGTGCCATTGTATAGTATTTCAAAACCATTGTGGGATTTTTAGTCTTAAAGTTGATCGCATGGTGGCGTTCAAACAGATTGTACTCAGGTGTAATCTAATTTCAAACAAATATACTTACTTGTCCGCCTTAACTTAAGAGCGATTATTTGTATATTTCATAAAATTATCTGTATTAATCTATCTTTTTCATCAAAAAAATTCTTTTAAAATTTTTACATGGTGATGAGCTTATAACATTGCAAAAGTAAGGAGTGTCTTTCGTAGAAATAATTTTTGATCTTTCTTAGTTTGCATATAACTTATGATGTTACATGCACATACCGTTATATTATGCAAGCAAGCACACACAATTCAAATAGATACTTAAAAGATGTAAGCATCACAGGTATAGCTCTAATTATTATAATAACTAAGGATTTTAAGGTTACATTACAGTGTGAAATATCAGACTAATTGACTCATAAACAAAAATAGACATTTCCTCCATTAATAGTACTATTTTACATGTAAAACAAATATAGTCTCAACCTCTGCTTTCCTGATTCTGTGTGTTTACAATAATTCTTATATTATATGTATATACATTAATTATTCTTCCTTTTTTCACAGTGCTGTTTGCCCATGCACATCTGTTTGGATATATGACGGAGAAGACGTCTCTAACCGTTGTTTCAGCAGAGGTTAATTCATAATCAGTGCACAAAACATGGTGCGAATAATAAAAAAAATAATAACACTCAGCCTTACACTGTATCACTCAATAACTTTTATCATCTAAATCAGAGTTAACAATTATGACTGCATTAATCAGCGTCCAGGAAATTCAAAAATCCTTACATGTATCATCTAATTGCAATTATAAAAAAAAACATTCAGGGATTAACAAAGTTGCAACCAATTAAATTTTAGGATATGCACATGACAATCCTTTTTTAATCTCCTTCCATTGCGAGTTATTTTCTGTGTCAAATTATTTCGACAGATGTGTTTCATGTTTCATTTTTTGTTACTTTTGCATTAGTGATGCAGCACAATAAATTAAGATTGGTGTTTGATCAAACAAAAGCCATAAAGAACTTTATTCGGTAATAACCAATATTTGCCCCCCCCCCCCCCCCAAATCAAACTTTGATGGAGATACATTTAATTAGGTTCTTAAACAGGGGAGTATATGCTGACTTCAAAGCACTGAATATTTTCATAAGTAATGACGTCAAAGCACTGAATATTTTCATAAGTAATGACGCCATATGTACGTAATGACGTCACAAACATGACGTAAATTTTATTTTTTTTATGAATTTTACAGAAAAATGTACATATTTTGTCGATATTTTGAGTAAAAGTCACCGAGCGCATGTGTGTTCAGGATCAATATTTTGATATAATGTGTAGAATGATAATATCAATGAAATATGTCAATATTGTTCCTGAACAAACTTGCGCTCTAAAAATGTTAAAGCTTAAATTGTTGAAATTTTGTCCATTTTGTCCTCTTTCTGAAAAAAGGATATAAAATCGGACTAGTTTATGACGTCATAAAAACCAAAATTGTGAATACACTGCTTTGACACTATAATATTTTCTGTTAACTTATATTTCTCATACAATTTATTGAATTCAGCACATTTCAGGAAGTTTTCAAAATTTGACTTTTGTGGGGGCAAAAATATGCAATATACCGCATATAGTTCTTTCATATACTTAAGAAATAAACAACAAGTCCGAAGGGCTTCTCAGTAGATTTGATCATGTACCAATCAAAAGTTCATTTCCCAGTGATCTTTTTACATTGCTGTTTATTATTTATATTTACATTTGAGACAAAGAGATTTGAAGTAAAACTGCATTTATTACATGAAGGGCCGCCGTATTGCTATTGTGGTGCACAATAACCTAGAAGTTGTTTCGTCGTGGAAATTCGAATGTTTGAATGTTCACATTCATGTGTAGCACTCTGGTTCAGAAAATATATGTATATATTGAAAGAACGATGATCGCTGCTAAGAATTATCTAAGAATTTCATTAGTTCTTAAAATATTTGAAGTCAAAAGTGGTGGTATCGTCTGCTTTAGTTTAAATAACTCTAAAGGACTTTCTTGTTGAAAAGGTAAGTGTGGTTTTAGGCTAATTATAGTATTCAAACCTAATTAACATGGAAAGAAGATAAATTGGTCATCTCGTGATTAAAAAATACCCATATTGTTTATCATTTTATCTTTTTCATCGTTATTAACTTGAAAATATTCCAAAACAAGTTGCACCGTGACGGAAATATGTAGACAAAATATCACCTCGCTCTGTGATTTGGTCGCGCTATGACCTCTGACTCCCAAATAAAATTTTCTCTTCAAAAGGTTCATCTAAGAAAGATATTGGAAAATGTAAACGTTAGGTACTGACGTAATTAATGTGTACGATTGTCGATAGCTGCGGTCAGTTTACACTTATGCTATGTGTGTAAAACATGTTAAAATGTGTAGAGAATTGTCAATGATAACTCGCTGACATGTTATTCCCTAACCTAAAAAAAGATACAAATTGTAAAGTGTCAAAACTCCATGAACACTCTTTACCACCGTTATGCCTGAAAAGTATCTATCAAGATTCATGAACACTCTACATCTTTATGTGATTTTAAGTGTCAAAAACCAAATTATTCTTTGTATTGCACACGCAAGATGCCTCTCTGAGTTCAGTCTCTGTACATACATGTACTACGGAGTTAGTGTTATATAACTTGAAACAGGTAAATAGGGCTGGGTATTTTCCAATATGAAGTGACAAAGATTTTGATAATTTTTTTGTATATACCTCTCCAAAGCATTGTTTAGGAAACAATGCTTCGGATGCTGGATCTGACCTACATTTTCCAGATGAGTGACCAGGTTCAAGTTTTTGGAGCAGGTCCATTCCCGAGGATTTATAAGCCCTACCCGGACAAAACTTGCATGCATGATGCACCTAGGGATGGACACTACCAGACTTGCTTCAGGTGCTGGATCTGACCTACGTTTTCCAGATGAATGACCAGGTTCATGTTTTTGGAGCAAGTCCATTTCCAAGGAACTATAAGCCCTACCCGGACAAAACTTGCAAGTATGATTAATCTGGGGATGGACACACCAGACTTGCTTCGGATGCTGGATCTGACCTACATTTTCTAGATGAGTGACAAGGTTAAAGTTTTTGGAGCAGGTCCATTCCAAAGGAACTAGAAGCCCTATATGAACTAAACTTGCATGTCTGATGCATCTAGGGATGGACACACAAGACTTGCTTAAGATGCTGGATCTGACCTACATTTTCCAGATGAGTGACCAGGTTAAAGTTTTTGAGCAGGTCCATTCCCAAGGAACTAGAAGCCCTACCTGAACTAAACTTGCATGTATGATGCATCTAGGGATGAACACACAAGACTTGCTTCAGATGCTGGATCTGACCTACATTTTTCAGATGAGTGACCAGGTTAAAGTTTTTGAGCAGGTCCACTACCAAGGAATTATAAGCCTTACCTGAACAAAACTTGCATGCGTGATGCACCTAGGGATGGACACTACCAGCCTTGCTTCGGATGCTGGATCTGACCTACATTTTTCAGATGAGTGACCGGGTTAAAGTGTTTGGAGTAGGTCTATTTTCAAGGAACTATACGCCCTACCCGGACCAAACTTGCATGGATAATGCATCTAGGGATGGACACTACCAGACCTGCTTTGAATTCTGGATCTGACCTACATTTCATTTCCAAGTAACTATAAGTCCTACCTAAACCAAACTTGCATGGATGAGGCCTCTAGTGATGGACAATACCAGACTTGCTTCGGATGTTAGATCTGACCTATATTTTCCCAATCAAGAGACCAGGTTAAAGTTTAAGGAACAGATCAATCCCAATGATCTTGAAGTCCTAGATTTCTGTAGTTTTAACAAAACTATGTATATTTTTTTTACATTATACATGTTTTTCACACTAGAGGCTTAGAAATGTGTAGAAATGCCATGTAAGGGGTTAACAGATATTGATTCTTTTGATATGTATTTCATAAGAATTACACAATGAACATGTGAAATATATAGAGATGATATGAAGGGTGGAACTTTGAACACTAAGTGAGATGACGTATTTTTATACTAAATTTCAGTCTGTCCTGAAATAGCCTGTCTTGTTGGAGCATGTACTTTTCAGACCTGTCCGGCCTATCCTCAGGCCACTTGTTTGTGAGTATTACTAAGACTAATGAATAAGTTACTCAACAAAAACAACCCTAAGAAAAAATACTATAGTTAACTATAGCTAACTATAGTTAACTATAGTTTACTATAGTTTACTATAGTTTACTATACTTAACTATAGTAAATCAAAGTGTCAAAGTTTTCGCCAAAGTTTTTCAAAGTGTCAAAGTTTTCGTCAAAGTTTTTGAAAGTGTCAAAGTTTTCACAAAAGTTTTTCAAAGTGTCAAAGTTTTCGATAAAGTTTTTCAAAGAGTCAAAGTTTTCGCCAAAGTTTTTCAAAGTGTCAAAGTTTTCTCCAAAGTTTTTCAAAGTGTCAAAGTTTTCGATAAAGTTTTTCAAAGTGTCAAAGTTTTCGCCAAAGTTTTTCAAAGTGTCAAAGTTTTCTCCAAAGTTTTTCAAAGTGTCAAAATTGTCGTCAAAGTTTTTGAAAGTGTCAAAGTTTTCGCCAAAGTTTTTCAAAGTGTCAAAGTTTTCATCAAAGTTTTTCAAAGTGTCAAAGTTTTCGCCAAAGTTTTTCAAAGTGTCAAAGTTGTCGTCAAAAATTTTTCAAAGTGTAAAAGTTTTAGATAAAGTTTTTCAAAGTGTCAAAGTTTTCGCCAAAGTTTTTCAAAGTGTCAAAGTTTTCGTCAAAGTTTTTGAAAGTGTCAAAGTTTTCACAAAAGTTTTTCAAAGTGTCAAAGTTTTCGATAAAGTTTTTCAAAGAGTCAAAGTTTTCGCCAAAGTTTTTCAAAGTGTCAAAGTTTTCTCCAAAGTTTTTCAAAGTGTCAAAGTTTTCGATAAAGTTTTTCAAAGTGTCAAAGTTTTCGCCAAAGTTTTTCAAAGTGTCAAAGTTTTCTCCAAAGTTTTTCAAAGTGTCAAAATTGTCGTCAAAGTTTTTGAAAGTGTCAAAGTTTTCGCCAAAGTTTTTCAAAGTGTCAAAGTTTTCTCCAAAGTTTTTCAAAGTGTCAAAGTTTTTGCCAAAGTTTTTCAAAGTGTCAAAGTTTTCGTCAAAGTTTTTCAAAGTGTCAAAGTTTTTGCCAAAGTTTTTCAAAGTGTCAAAGTTTTTCAAAGTGTCTAAGTTTTCACCAAAGTTTTTCAAAGTGTCAAAGTTTTCGATAAAGTTTTTCAAAGTGTCAAAGTTTTTGCCAAGGTTTTTCAAAGTGTCAAAGTTTTCGCCAAAGTTTTTCAAAGTGTCAAAGTTTTCGTCAAAGTTTTTCAAAGTATCAAAGTTTTCGATAAAGTTTTTTAATGTGTCAATGTTTTCGATAAAGTTTTTCAAAGTTTCAAAGTTTTCAATGAAGTTTTTCAAAGTGTCAAATTTATCACTATAGTAAATCAAAGTTTTCAAAGTGTCAAAGTTATCACTATAGTTAACTATAGTAAACTGTAGTTAATTATAGTTAACTATAGTTAACTATTGTATTTTTTTGTTAGGGAATCATCTGCATATAAATAAACAATGACATACAGGTGGCTATTGGAAACAACGGCTTACATGTCTCGTATTTGCTTGGAATTAATCAAACGAGTTAACCATTATATTTATCTATGAAAAATTCTAAATGTTTAAGGAGATAATTTTCCTTAAAACATTTGTAAAAAGAGAACTACACTGATTTTTTTTTTCAAATATACATATTTTTTATACTATTTTGTATTGCGATATACTTACTTGCGATATTACTTTGTTTATTTTAAACAAAAA